AGAGAGAGAGAGTAAGGGAGGAGACAATCACCTTGTTGGACTCATTGGCGTGACGTCCGCACAACGTTCATCGGTTGGCACCCACTGCCTAGTGGACCGAGCCAGTTGTCATAAACCTCCTACATAGTTGCAGCTACGCACGACGAAGTTTGAACGCACCATAGAAAACAAGGAATGAACTACTTTTTATTATTATTATTATTATTATTATTATTATCATTATCATTATTATTATGATTATTATTATTATTATTATTATTATTATTATTATTATCAGGTTCATCAGCCCGTACGTACGGAGGTCCCTGGGCAGACCTCCGTACGTACGGGCGTTCGGGGTCCCGTACGGGGTCCGAACCCGACGGCATTCGGCCCCCGCCAAAAATTATTTCAGGGCCTAAAAATAATTATTTTTTTCTGAATTTTGTTTTTGTGAGTTCTCTATGACGTGAGGTACATGCCTGTAAATTTTCAAGTCATTTGGGTAAGCAAAATAAGAATAAAAAATCGCCGAAGATGGCGGTGTCAAAACGTGCTCGCCCACCTATTTTTTCACTTTTCACTTCTTGTTTTCACTTTAGTTCGGGGTCTAAACAATTTTACTATTTTTTGAAACTTTTTTAGAGGGTTTTGTATTATGTGAAGTACACATCTGTAAATTTTCAGCGCATTTAGCTACGCCAAAAAAAAATGAAATATCGCCAAAGATGGCGGTGTCGAAAACATGCACATGCTCGCGCACTCACTAAATTTAATTCTCTTTTTATTTTTATTTATTTTTATTTATTTTTATTATTAGTATTTGTTTTACGTATTTTATTTTTATTTCAAATTCGGTAAGGAATTAGGATGTAATGCTCAGGAAAATCTTGTTTAATTTATGTTTCTCGATAACATATCATTTTTTCAGATTTTTTTGATGACTTTTGTTTTTTTTTGTTTTTTTTTTGTTTTTTTTTTTAGGTCCGCGTTTGGCCCGAACGGCCGAACGCATCCCAAAGGGGTCCCAGCCCGTCCCAAACGTCGGTTACCCTGATTATATTATTATTATTATTATTATTATTATTACTATTATTATTATTATATTATTATTACTAATTTTAACGATTTTCTTATCATTCCGCTCGCCAGTCGATGAATTTAACCAAGATCGGTGTGTAGATTCTTCTGCATTAGTATGAGGAAAACAATTGTATGCATGTGAGAGGGACAGACGAAAAACACAGAAGTATAGGAAGAGCATCACAAAATACGATGGACGAATAACGCGAGGTATGAAAAAAAAAAAAAAAAAAAAAACACAGAGGAAGAAAACACGATCATGGAGGGGGGCAGAAGAAGATCAAGGATGGTATGGAGAATATCGCGGGGAAAGGAGGCAAGGGCAACGGCAACTGGTACGATAATGACAAACAACGAGAAAGAAGAAGACGAAGGAGGAAGGAGGAGGAAGAAGGGAGATGGAGAATGGAGCGAGAAGGTAGCAAGGAGAAATATGACGAAAGGGATGAGAAAGAAGGTGGGAGAGACAAAAATTACGGGGAAAACCAACGAAGAATGCACAGAGAAAGCAGTGAAGTATACGCGAAGGGTTGCAGGCTCGCGCACGGTTTGACAAGCGCTAGGCATGGAGGTAACATGTGGTAGTAATGGAAAAAGGGTGGACTCGACCACGTGGGAGAAACAGACGCACGGAAAGAAAAAAAAAAAAAAGAAGGGGAAGGAAAAAAAAAAAAAAAAAAAAAAAAAAAAAAAAAAAAAAAAAAAAAAAAAAAAAAAAAAAAAAAAAAAAAAAAAAAAAAAAAAAAAAAAAAAAAAAAAAAAAAAAAAAAAAAAAAAGGAGAAGAAAAGAGGGAGAAGGGGAGCCTTCAAAACGAGAACATAAGTAAGGAGTAAAGGACGGAGGGAGTGTTGAGAAGAAGAACGGAAGGAGGAGAGGCACAAGCGGAGCAGGGAGCATCAGGCCCTATCAAATGATGACAACGAGAATTGAGACAGGCGAGTCTCCTATAGCCCGACTACACCGTGGTATGCCTATCGATTGGATGAACGAGATCGATCGGATCTATTGATGTAGCATGCAAATGAGTGTTACCGCTCTCATATGCGTATACTCGTATGTGTGAAAGAGGGAGAGAAGGATGATGATGATGATGTAAGGGTACATACCTGGTATTGGTGATGGCCTGCACTAGTACATATCTTCAAGTACTTCACTGGTCGCTGACGTGATTAGTTGCATTGTCAATTAGTAGGTAGGTAATATCCATGTAGGAAGTAGGCTAGGCATCGAGTGCCAAGTAGGGAGAAGAGTCTGGATACATATGTTGGTGGTGGCGGGAGCAAAGCTCTCATGGATATTGGTTTTCAGTGTTACAATTCTCTATTGGTATCATACTGGTCCGATGTTGCTTTACGATCCGACTTTCGATGTGATTGTGCAATCTTAATATCGTCATTATTATTATTGTTATTATTATTCTTATTATTCTTATTATTCTTATTATTATTATTATTATTATTACTACGCTACCAGCCGGGCCGCCCCGGCCCCGGGTGGCCAGCCCGTGCAAGGACCAAGGAAGGTCTCAGCCAAAAACAAAAAAACAAAAAAAAACACAAAATCCGAAAACAAACTATGCTATGCAGAAAAATAAACGGAATAACTTTTGCCTCAGGGTCACATCGAAATTCTTAACCAAATTTAGAACAAAAAAATAAAATTTAAAAACAATTCTTTTATTTTTGCGAGGCAACGCCCGCTTAGCCCCTACGGGGCCCTATCTACAACAAGGTCCGCCGCCCAAGTGAAGGCAGGCACGATAGGCCCTTCGGGCCTCATTCTTCAGGGTACCCCGCATCGGGGAAATTCAGACAGTTACGTTGCGCCAGATGGTTGAATGAATCCAGGCCCTGGGCCGCTTGTGTAAATGAATGTGAAGCAGGCCCTGGGCTGGATACGGTTACCCGGCCAAACACAGGCCGAAA